AGCCTGACTGATGACTACTTGCATCAGCTTCCCTGTCTCCCGCATTTACCTTTCGCTAAGTTAGTCTTGCTCAGTTTAATCCCAAAGAATTTTCAACACACACCTATTACGACCTGTATTTCTATCACCAAGTTAAAAAAAAGTAATAGAACCAGTCACAGGATTTTTTCTTTATCAAAAAATCAAAACAATTTTTAAGTTTTCTGAGTTGTACACCTCCTAATGTGATATTATTTCAGAAAATAAGGTAAATAAATAAGGCAGAAACAATGAGGGTGTGAAATGGAACACCTGGAATATTAAAGTCCTTGCCACACAGACAAGTTACAGTCTGCTGACAAAGTAGTAACAGGGATCCTGTCCTGACTCTTACAGGTCGTCAACAGCCCAAGGGGGAACACCAACTAAGACGCTGCTGGATGCTAGGATCCAGCAGTTACGTATGTGTCTTCGTCTGTGAACCAGCATGCCGGACACGCGTCCTTGCAGCAGGGATGCAACCAGCCAGGTGACTCTCTTACTCAGCCCTCACTCCCCTGGCAATCCCTGCCACTCCTTCTCAACACCTCCTGGGAACAGTGTTCCTACATGCTGCTGGGAAGGAAAGAAAAACAGCCGCAGCCTTTCCACTCTGTACAAGAACATCTGGGGGCAGGGAGTACTGCTGCTGCTCAACACAGCGTGGAAAACTATTTCAACTACTTCAGAGACTCAAAGCACCCACTGTAGTCTTTTTTTTTTCCTTCCCCCAAACTCACTAATGCTCAGTGCATGTCTGATTGCAATTAATGCTGTCATGCTTTGGAGACCACACGGGAAATCATCTGCAAGTGGGACTGAATAATGAATAGAACAGACTGGCGCGTTCTTTCTATGCAGCCAGTCATGAAAGATCTTCTAATCGAGTTACGGCTTTCCCAGTAAGCTCTGGATCTTTGGATCTTTTAACACAACTAAAAAAAATTCAGAGAGTAGGACTGCAGTGCCTGTAAACAGGTATACACAGCAGAACTCTTCATACCACCTATATAACATGTGTCTAGATTGCTATTTAGCAAGAGGAATAAGCCATAACCAAAATATTTTCACTTTCATAAGAAATTCTAGCAAAGATCAGACTGACAGTTATAAACCGCAAGTTAACTGAAATTAAAATAGCACAATAAAGTAATATTCTATGGTTTCATCGAGAGGGACACAAACTGAAAAGTAACAGGCTGTCTCTCTCTTTTCCCTTTTCTTCCCAAGGTGTTTGCTCTGATACACATAAAGGATGTTGTCACATAGCAACACACCGATTCAACACGTATGGTAGCAATACAGTTTTCTTCAGACCTGTCTGCTGACGTAGAAGTATTACTCACCGGTGATTACTTCTAATAACAGACAGGAAATTAATTTCTCAAACTTACATGTGCTCACTTTTGGTTTTTTTGTTTTTTTTTTTAGTAATACTGTTCTGGACTGGGATATACATTTCATTGGGACAAAAAAAAAAAGAAAGAAATAGGCAACCAAACAGGTGACAGCTTTCAGTGAGAACTGAAATCTGACGAAGGGGAATGAATGATCCCATGTCCTGGATTCAGGTTGTTGAGAATCTGACTATCTTCCCTAAAGGTGTTGCTCCCAACGCTTAGCACCAGGCATAGCGCTTGGTGTAATACAAAGAACTCAGCTTAATAAAGCAACAGGTAGGATTGACTGCTTGGAAGAGCCTGTGAAAAGAGCCTCGCAATATGACTAGGAAGTCAAAATGTAAGGGGAAATCCATGTATGTGAAGAGACCAAAACCCATGACACGTTATTCTGAAACTTTATATTTTCCCCACTGTACAAAGACTAAGATCAGCTTCTGTGAAACAGAAGCAGACAGACAATGCTTGGGATTAATTACTTCTCACTAAAGCGCCTGTGACCCACTCCTTGCAGAAAGAAAATATTTTGAACACATCCCTGTGTGCACTGTTGATTCAGGGGGCCATCTCATGGGGACACAGATAATATTCTTCTTCCTTTGTCACTGATGACAGGAGTTACTGTACCCGCTTCCTTTGCCAGGCTGGAAACATGACTCAAAAACACCTGTCTTACATTTGTCCCAGAAAAAAATGCAAACACACTCACATTTGTCAGGTTTCCTCAGCCTTTTTTTTTCCCCCATTTAGCGATATTTTCAAATCTTTGAAGTTCCACTCCCAGTATAGTTTAGGTGAACTGATTCACCTTCTTGAAACCACCTTGCCAAGGGAGTACCATTACTAAGGATGCCTTCTCGACATATCCACAATACGCTCTGCTTGATTACAGATCCGTGAAGGACTGCAACTATTGAATTATTAGCAGCTAAAAATCTGTCAGTAAGTTCCTAACTGAGCATAGCAGCAATTTTAGAATTACCCTCCTTCAACTAGCAAAATAAAATCTGCATGGGGATAGGATTACCCTTGTGACTAGATCAATGTGGAAATTCTAGAGAGAGAGATTGCGTTGATATAAGCCAAATTAGCAGAAGTACCTTTCCCAAGAGGAGTAAGAGGACCAAGCAGCCCTTTCCCTCAGACACCAAACCAGTTTCAGCTCAGAGCTTCAGCAGTTTCTGGAAGGGGTTACATGACATTCACTGCCCACCATAGCAGAGCTGGACTCT